AGGACCCCCCCCCCCCCCCCAAGCCCCATGCTAGCAGATCATAATACGTCGGTACATTTAGATAACTTCAGAATTTTTTTGTTTATCATTTTTGTTATGACAATGGAAGCAATAACATGTCTGACACTTTTTTTTTTCTTTTGGCGCGGGAGGGATACAGATATGCTTGAAACTTGATATAATTTCATTATAGTTATATATCAACTACAAGAAGCAAAAGACGGAGTTATGGAAGAGGATAAAACATACCCAGTTTGTTCCTTCTAGTTGGCAATAGAAAGAGGCTGCAGTATAGCCAGCAATACCAGATGTAAGAGCATAAATGACAACCAGTGCAGTGAATAGAGCTCCACGGTTATACGGATAAAATACACCAACTAGTGCAAGGATAAAAATAAATACTGTGCTGTTGAAAAAAAAAATGTTTAAGTTGGCAGATTTTCCATCGATTAGTAATCGGAAAATTGATAAATGAAGCCAATTCCAAGCAAACTAAGTGGCTCAAAGAGATACTTACAGGGTAAATAACTGGGTACCAGAACCAAGGGCAGCGGCAAATAAGGATTTGTACTTTGGATACCTGAATACATCACCATTAATAAATTTCCACCCAGTTTCTTCTTGGTCATCAGCTGTCTCCTCGTCATGAGCATACCTTTTGATCATAAAATAAGTGAACAATTCGTAACATTAAAGGAAATATATTATCAAACAGAAGTCCAAGATAACACAATGTACTCACTTGACAAAATCATTCTTAAGAACTCGCATAAGAATAGTGGCCAGAAAACCAGTTAGAAGAAGAACTGTCACACAAGAGTTGATTATAGAGAACCAATGGATTTCCAAGTGATGAGGTAATGAAGAGGACTGTGAGTACTTTTCCATCCTCTTCTCAAAAGGAGTGTTTGTTTCCTTCCACTTCACAGAGTACATGAACTCCACATCAACTTCCTTATCCTCAGTAAGGTCTACAAGGGCACTGGGGTCAGTTCGTGCATTAATCTCAATGACACGATCCTTATTGTAAAAGATCTCAAAATGGAGATGTTTGAATATATAATATCTGTACTCGCTGGGGTCAGATTTTCCTTCCCTGTCCACTTTCCCCAAGAAACCCCAAATGGGCAAGTCATCATAATACATTTGAAAATAATAGTCTTTTGCCACTGCCTTTCGGAATTGCGCAGCTTCTTCCTTGGTTAACGTCTTTTTGCAAACAATTTCAGAATCTTTATCTTGCAAAAAGTCAAGTTTATATGGGGCACTTACAAGACGATCTCCATTCAACACTTCCCCAAGAGCTTCCTTCTTCTCTTTCATGTGAGCTGCAAATTACTATGTGAGATATTATTTTCCTATAACTCATTGAATTAAAGAGAGTACAGAAACAAGATGCAAACCTGGGGTGCAGAAAGGAAGATCCAAGTAGCGGTATGTTTCGCTGGCATTGCAAAACCAAGTGAAAATTATATTAGTTTATCAAAGAACGATGTGTATTTCTGTCAGAATGTACATTTGAATGTGCAAATTATTTCCAATCAAATGCAATAAATAACTCAAAGAAGAATACATCTTACTGCATGCAATGATAGATGTATTTTATACACTTATACAGCCAAATATATATATATATAAGGCGAAATCCAAAATTTGGGCACATTATTGCAACTTTTCAATATATATATATATATATATATATAAACATTTAATATTTCTTTTTATTAATTATGGCCAAATTTATGATATATTCCAGTTGTTAGGTGAAACTCAACAATTGGAAGTGAAATTAAAAAAAGGGCGAAAAAGGCGAAATCCAAAATTTGGGCACATGATTGCAACTTTTCTACAGTTGATTCAGACCATAAGACTGTTAAAAATTTTAAGTGTTCGATTGGATGCAATTGGAAGACACAAGATCAAAATTACTTCAAGAACTCAAGAAGAAATCAAGGACTAAATTGCAAGTTTGTGAAATATTTTACACTGGGCTATCTCTTAGCATTAAGCCTGGGCGGTCCCAAAAAATAAAAATAAAAAGCAGTGGCTAAAATTTAACCCGGGATGCTTCCATGGTAAATTTCGAATTTGATTAGAACTCTTCTTGAAACGAATTTTGGACATGATTTTCAACCTATTTTCAAGTCCTATAAATACCAAACAACATTATACATTAGGGGGACACCTTTCATACATTATATTTTCGCCCATTATTACAATAAACGAGAGGCCTAATCATAGAGAATTGAAGGGCAATTGCAAGATTTCACAACCAACTGAAAATCAAACCTTGATTTTTATTTTTTGGGTTAATAGTACAAAACGTCCATACATTTGACACTTATTGCGGAAAACATCCTTACGTTTCATTTTTTTGCATTTTCATCCTTATTTCAACATTTCATTGCTAAAAAGTCCTTTTTCACCATTTTGAATGTAAAAATGACCAAAATACCCTCCTATTTAAATAAAACCAAAAAAAAAAAAAGATAAAAGATAAATAAAGAATAAATTGCAATCTTACTCCTAAATGCTTTAATAAGTGCAAGTGAATCCAAATAATTATTAAAAGGCCTAATAGCACAAAACATTCCTACGTTTGGCTTGTAGTGTGCAAAACGTTCCTACGTTTCAAATTGATGAAAATGACTTTTTTCGCGATAAAACATGAAAATAGGAATGAAAATGCAAAAAAAAAATTGAAACGCGTGGATGTTTTTCGCAAAAAAGGTCAAACGTAAGGACGTTTTCCACAAGAAGTATCAAACGTATGGACGTTTTGTGCTATTAGACCTTATTAAAATTAAAACCATTGTCAAACCGTCGAACCTCTATACCATTTCCAAAATATCATTACCCGAACTCTGGCGGCACCACCTGTCCCGAAGATATCCATGTCATTTTCAACACACCAATCGACTATACTCACCTGGATGCTTCTCTTCATGGTCTTAAAACATCAACAGATGGTTCAGCGGTGTAGAAGTTCGACGGTTTGGGCGATGGTTGGTCGGAGTTTTTTTAATTTCTAAGGTGGCAGTCCCATTTGGAGTAGAAGAGACCATGAAGAGAAGCACTCTAGTGAGTATAGTCGATTGGTGTGTTGAAAATGACATGAATCTCTCCGGAATAGGTGGTGTTGCCGAAGTTTGGGTGATGGTATTTTGGAAATGGTATGGAGATTCATCAGTTTGACAATGGTTTCAATTTTAATAAGACCTAATTTTACAAAACATCCCTACGTTTAACACTTTTTGAGGAAAACGTCCCTACCTTCGACACTTTTTGCGTAGAACGTCCATTCGTTTCATTTTTTTTGCAGTTCCATCCCTATTTTCATGTTTCATTGTGAAAAACGTCATTTTCATCAATTTGAAATGTAGGGACGTTTTGCACACTACAGCCCAAACGTATGGACGTTTTGCGCTATTAGGCCTTTTAATAATTATTTGGACTCACCTGCACTTTTTAAACCATTTAGGAGTAAGGTTGCATTTATTATTTATTTTTCATTTCTTTTTTTTTTTTTTAAATAGAAGAGTATTTTGATCATTTTACATTCAAAATGGCGAAAAGGACTTTTTAGCAATCAAACGTTGAAATAAGGACGAAAAAAAAAACGTAGGGACATTTTTCGCAATAAGTGTCAAACGTAGAGACGTTTTGTGCTATTAACCCTTTTTTTCGAAAAAACAAGAAGAAGACAATTGGAGATTCATCAAGACAATTGAAGATAGATCAAGATTCATCTTCATCTTCTCCTTCATCAATCTAAAATTCAGGTTTTATTTTTCTAATTAATTATTATTTCTTGTTATTTTAAAATGCTAGGCTAGGGTTTTAATCACTAAGAAATAGATGAACCTTTATTATGAAGTTTTTAATATAAATTCAAATAATTTAACGCCCAATATGTGTTTATTCTTAGATGATTGTTATAGAACTTAATGCTTTTCAATTAATTGGCCACTAATTGAAATGTTGTGCGAATTTTATTGTTTTTGAGATAGAAAAAAAAGGATACATAGCATGTTATAACGACCATTGTAAAGTTCGATACGAAATAGAGATATACCGATATACTTTACATGATTTTTATAGATGTTTTAGCGTTTTAATGCATGCTTTCATGTTCACATATTTTATAGAGATGTAGGAAGGTACATGAGATGATAGATTTAATTGACATTGACAGATGCTTCTAATTAATTTAGGAACATTGGTCAATAAGAATGTGCACGTATTGTCATGTTATTAAATTGCATTGAAACGAATTTATAAGAGGGATTCGAGGTCTTAGTAATTATCTAACCTAAACTTGCAAAACCTTCATAATTTGCTCACTACAATTGTTAGCTTAATTAGATTAATTAGTATAAATCATTAAAACACACTTGGCTCACATAGTCTTCGTGCAAATGACATTCCACTCATTGCTTTATTACTTGTTTGCAATACTATACACTTGTGAAAAATCAAACGATCATGCAAATTCGAAATGCATAAAGATCTTGGTATCCTGAATGTTTCTATTTTTTACCCCATATCATTCAGATGTTTTATATGCTTCAAATAGTACTTCCTGAGTTTCCGATAATAGCATATTTTTCAAAGCTCATATTCCTTTATGGACTTCATGACAAATCTTCTCTTTCAGAAAATCCAAGAAAACTTATTAAACTATCTAAGAGCATATCCAATATACTCTCTCAATACAAGATGTTTTTACAAAGTCAATGCTTAAAAATAAGCTTCAAAGGACTCTATTTTAACTTTTTAAAATAAAAAATGAGTTTTGTTTTCAAAATTTGAAGAGTCAAACTCACTCTCTATTCTTACTTTATAATAATTGCATTTGATGAACTATATATTCCAATATGTACTTCTTACATTATTCAAATAATATTTGAATTGATTGGTCATAACATACAAAAAAATATGTTAAAGAAAATATGAGAAAAAAACTAATAAATGTTTCTTGTAGAAAATGAAAAGAAGAGTCAAAATAGAGAACATTGTTGAAGTGTAATTTTACTCTTCTAAATTTGAAGATACTCTCTATTATGCATAAATTGCTCTTAATAAATAAAGAATCCCTTGAAAATGCTTTTGGTAAATCAATTGCAAAATATTTTTCAAGGCCTGGGTAGATTCAATGAAGCTTAGTACACTTCACATTGACTATAGCGTGCTTTCAGCTCTACTGAATCAAATAGCTTTTTATTTTTTATTTTTTTATTTTTTTTTGGTTGAGGACTACAATGCCAACAGTGACAAGTTTTCGCTGAAAACACTATTAGGCAGAAGATTTTCGTTTTTTAAGCAGAAATACTTTACAAACCTATGTTTTCTTAATTTAGGATATCTCGACTCCGGCAGACAAGTTTTTATTTTAACTTCATTTGTTAAAATAGTAAATAGATAGTCGTGCTTCTTGTTTATGGTGAAAATTTGGTTTTTGAGGAATTTATTAAGGATTTCTGAGCACTTCATTCTTTCAGAATACTTCATTTTCTCAATGGGAAAGGGAACATGGATATTAGTTCACAAAAAAGAACTTTTCATAAAGTGTTACAGATATTAATTAAGATTCAGGTAATTCAGTGCCAGCATTCGCCATAGGACAACCTAACTCATCCACAAGCCAAGTTGATATGTTCAATTTCTACTCATATAATGCTTATCCAAATCCAATTCATGAAAATTGATATAAACAATACAACTTATCCATGTTTTGGATCAAATATTTAGCCCTTGTTTGAACTCCATTTTTTCATCAAAATACATTTTTCAACACTGATTTGGCACCGTTTCAACCACGCATTTTTTAATCAAATAATATTTCATGCAAATTCATAACTTTTCTTTATTTTTTAACCACACATTCTCCATCATAACACTATTTCAAAATGCATTCTTATAGAAAAGTAGGGCTCAAACAACTTATATTCTTTTCAAGAAGTACATGGATACAAATCATCAATCCAAAGTTCAAAAAGGAGGAAACATCATCTAATGAACACCTTAGGTCTTAGCCATTCTCAAGTTCCCACTAATAAAACAAACATCATCAAATCCATAAAAAATAAAATCACCCAAAAATCAAAAACCTCAATGTAGCAGCCACAATCTCAAGCACATTCCATAATGCAAATCAAATCAAATTAAAAAAAACAAAATAAAATTACCTGGGGTTGTGAAAAGGTCCAACCTTATTAGCATAAAGGGGCACAGGGTCTCCAACTTTGTACCTATGATCCGATGCATCAGATCTCACCGGAATGGCGGAGCGCACTAGGACCAAAACGACGGCATACCACCCCATCGTCGACGTAATTCCCTTCTTCTCCGCCATTTTTTTATCACTTTTATGTGCACCCACGACTGACTGAGAAAAGAATTTGCTCAGTATCATATATATAGGGAGAGAGAGAGAGAGGCACAGATCTCGATCTCCCTGCAAAGAGTATTTTATATATGAATTAGAAGGAAAGATTTCTTCTAATTTAGGGTTAAATATATATTTGGTCCCTAAGGTTGTACCAAAATTTCATGTTGTTCCAAATCTCACTCTGTCGGTGGCATTAATTTAAAATCACACATGTACATTATTATCTTCAAATTAATGTCAAAATTTCATGAACATTGTACATTGTCATGAAACTCATTTTCCTCGCAATGTTGGAGACCCTCGACTTTCATTTTTTTTTTTTTTTGTATATAATTTTAAGTTTGAGTGTTTGTTTGGTAGGGATTTTGTTAATTGATTTTTTGACCGTTAGAAATAAAGTGAGTTCTACTTGTGAGAGAAGAATTCAAAAATGACGGCTGGAATAGTGAAATAACGGTCAAAAAATTGATATTAATTGGATTAAAATTCGGACCAAACATGATCATAATTATGTTTATAATAAACAAGAAAACAATGCAAAAGATGAAGATATTTTAATTTCACCTCATTGCGTCTAACTTCAATAAAATTTCTTGATGGACAACGCTAGTGCCATCCTTAATGATTATACTGTTTTGGTAATGGGATTAAACTTTGATTAGTACATCTCGAGATTAATATCGTACATTAAGGATTTGACATACGAGATCGCAACCATTATGAAACTTTAGTGACTGATTTGATGTTGAATTCCTATCAAGGATGAACATGAAATTTGTTGCAAGTTTAAGGACGAAATGTAAATTTAATCGTTTGATTGTGAACTAGAGGTAGGTGTAGTTGACGGTGGACTTTTTAACAGATTAGGCAAGGGATTGTGACTGCGTAACTGGCTGATGCGCGATATTGCAATTTCCTCTACTACTTTTTCCCTTAAAAGCAATTTCCTTTTTAATTATTCCTTTTTATTAATTTCAAGCAATATATATATATATATATTGTGAAAGAGAGCGAGTGTGATAGACCGAAAGTTTCTACAAATGGATCATTGAGATTTTCTTTGACTAAAAATTTTGATGCATAAATAATTTCGACTAAATTCAAACCAGTGTTAGATTGGACTTCTCTTCTATTGTCGAAAATAGTCATCGATTGATATTTTGATTATGCTACATCATTAGATGACATCTTAATAATTTGTGGTATAGTCAAAGTTGAAAAAATTTGTAAACCACATTCATAACAAACATTTTTCAATCTTTACAATCGAGATCGGGTTTCTTTTGAATAGCAACTAGTGATTGTAGAGATCTTTCCTATGTTGGACTGAACTTTCCTTTCCTATAATGTGTACATTTGATCTCAAATAACAAGAAAGTCTTGCTTTCAGCTCTTCCATCACAACATCACCCTACACCATCATTGAAAAATACACTTTCCATTTTTAAAAATGATATATTTTTCTATGACACAATAGGAGAAAGTAACTATCTATTGCGAAAAATATAAGGGCACTTACTTTTTGTAATTGTCATCCAACTTTTTGCCTAAAAATTCACCAGCTTGTAATTCTTTATTCGTTAAATATTTTTTCAAGGAACTTGTTTAATTATCGATAGACTAGAGCTTGAGTCCAAGCAAAGATCGAGGCAATGCTATTTGTGCCTCTTTCACCTCCTTTTTAAGAACTCTATAGTGGCATGTAACAATTATGAGTGTTGCTTTGGTCTCATCGGTCTTTCCATCAGGCTATATTTGAAGTTAACTAAGAAAATTATAAGCACATGTTTGGTATAGAATATATTTTATCGTACTGGGCTTATGGTCGACACAAAAATTAGTCATTTAATACTCCTACTAATATGGGTGTTATATGGGTAGAGTCGAGCTAATCTGCTCAACTCAACTTGTCCACCGTCAAGTTTGGCTCAGTCCACCATGCAAACTAACTCGCCTCACATATGGCGTGAGTCGAATGTGAGCAACTCATTTCCAGAAACTCAATTCGATTCTAGGTGGCTAATGAGCCACTTGCAACTTTTTTATTTTTTATTTTTTCAAATTGAAAATTACATTTTCGTCTGAACGTACAATGAAAAACGTAAATTCTCTAAGGAAATAATGTATGAAATCTATTTTGTATAAAGAATTATTAAGTTGTAAACAGTCTCCTTTATTTGGACTTAAAACCGACTACAAGACGTAAATAAAGTTAAATTTGTACCCAAAAAAATATTTCGTGCACATTTAAAAAAAAAAATGGTACAAATAAAGTACCTCCTTTCTGTAGATTTGAAATCGACTAGAATACATTGAAATCACTAAAAATTTAAATTGATATCTCCAAAAATTATTTTTACATACTAATTTACATCTTGGTGGATCAAATTCAAATTTTGCTACAATAAAAATATCTAAATCCACATTTTCTATCGAAAAATGCAATTTGCATTTCTTTGGCATCTATCTGTTAGAGAGGTTTTCGACTCTTTTAGGGATCTAAATTATAATTTAGATCTATTTTATATTATAATTGGAGATGTTATAAGTGCTTTTGAGTCTATACAGGTTGCAAAAGCATTAGTTAATACAAGCTCACGAGCCAACAAAAATGTCGCACAAGAAAAGTATAGATCGGCTAATGCCCATGATTGCGTTGGAAGCGAATTGAGCCTGCAAGAGTTCCCCCACTTACCAATAAGGCAAAAAGATGAAAAATAGCCCATGATTGCGTTGGAAGCGAATTGAGCCTGCAAGAGTTCCCCCACTTAACACCCCCACTTACCAATAAGGCAAAAAGATGAAAAATAGCAATTTCTAAGATCATACCCAAAAAAAAAAAATGGTAGTAACACCTAAATCAACCACAACACCTATGAACTCAATGCTATGCCATGTATCTAAGGCGTTGTATAGTATACATGATTAAATTACACATTATACACAAATATATTGTCCAGTATTACAGTCAAGTTTATCGAACAAACCATGGAAGCTGTCAGCCTCTAATCCAAAAATTAACAACTGCTGATTAAGATCTGTAAGTAGAAATTTGAGTAGTAGAAGATGTTACATCTGGGTCGAGTCATTAATCAAGTTATCACAGCATTAACCAACACACATACAGCCTCACATATATACAGTAATTTCCTAGTATATCAAACTCTCAAATAACTATCTCGATCAAATGACCAGATCCTATACTTGTTCTTAGTTCTTGTATTTCAGTCATTGACTGTACAAAAAGTGAAGCCATGGTCGTATTTGAAAATGTAAATTAAACACACCCGTAACAAGATCAAACCGATCCTTTACAATCCTTTACTCCAAAGTGAACTCTTTCTATCTACATGGATAGTAAGATGGACTTAGGAAGTACACTGCGACAAGCAATTCCATCACGCTGCTGCAAAAAAAGAATACGATTGGGAGCTTGCACAGGTCATTTCATTATGAATTGTGTATCAAAGATGAGTGCAGAAATTGAAGTAAAAATGTATTTGCCGTAATACTAATTCCGAATCCTAAAAGATTACATACTAACCACTGTCATAAACTAAATCAAGATAAGAGGGGCTTCTCCACATCGTACTCACTTTCCATGGAATTGTCATCACCAATGTGAAAATGTTCCTTCCCTTTAGCCCAAAGCACCAAATAGAGACCGCTGAACATGAGGCACATGCCTGCAAGGCTGTATTCCAAAGAAAAACGTTTGTATTTTATCGACTTCAACACATTACTTTCGTCTTGTTTTGCTCTCGTTGAGTCATATAACATATATTTGAACAAGGGATATGTGCTACCTTTCTGCTCTAATGGAATCTCCTAAGGTGATGTAAGAGAGAATGACTGTAATTACAGTTCCGAGGGGATTAAATATAGACACCATGACTGGTCCTCTTCTTTTTATTGCCCAAGCGTTGAAGCTTACGCACAATCCACTTACGCTACCTGCCTGTTCCAGTAAGTTGATCAAGAAATCACAAAATGTGCTACATAAAAAATTATTCAACTTTATAGTTTGTATATAGAAGGTACTAATCACAAGAATTAGTATCCACGCGCATGTATTGAGCAATGATTGTATTGATAAAGAATTCACATATTGATTGATCAAGTCGTACACAATATGGACAAAAAACAAATGCATTACCAGTATGGAGTAGGCAATTAGCTGTTTAATACTTAATAAAGGCCATCCAGTTTTCAATTCATCGTCTTCAATCAACTCAATCAATCCAGTCATTACCACGCCTATTAGAGATGTTATTGCACACAATGAGATTGGGGCTGGAAAATCATGTAATGTTGTAGCCTGCAATATGTATACTAAAATTGTTAGAAAGGTAAAGCCAAAACAAATATTTATTGGTACACTCTTTTAACAATATTGTCCACTCTATAATAGGATCTACCTGTAGCACAACCTGACTTGACAAAACAAATATTGCTGCCATGAGATACAAGCAACCAACAATCCTTTGATTGTCGAATGTGACATCAGACGGAGGAGAAGGTAATGAGGCTTGAGAATCTTTTGCTGAGTGAACTTGTACAGAACTTTGCATAAGGCTCATTACAACAGCACCAATAACGCACAATAAAGTTCCCATAATTTTTGCTCTGCTGTACCTACATCCTAACTCCACTTTCTCTAACCTGCATAAGAATTGTAACTTTCCTGTTAAATAAAGAAATTCTAATTCTTTGATTTTGAATATCGAGTAACTATCTTTTTCCATAGGAGGAAAGACAGAGAATAGAAACCTGAAACCCCAGGCAATAAAAAAGATTAGTCCTGGTGCAAGGTTTGGCATAGCTGTTGCCATTGCTGGTGAAGTGAGACTAACACCCCTCATAAATAAAGACTGAAATACTGTCACCCTGAAAAATAAAATATAAAATTATTAAAGTTGCGTTCTTAAGCACTTATGTTCATACATATGCATCGACAAAGAATTACAGATCAAGAAACAAAGAAGATGTTACAGTCAATGTGCTTTTAAGTAGTACGTATCCTAAAATTAATAAAAAGTAATATGTACCTAACTTCATCAGATGTGGAGAAAATTCAAAGAAGTTCAAGTGTTATTGTGAATAGCATAAAAGATAAAAATAATATGTTCTCTCAATGTTGTTGTGGCAGTGGGAGTGAGATTACTTCTTATATTCCATTTCAAGCAGAACAAATACTAAATATTTTACAGCTTTGCTAACTTGTTTTGACATAGAAGTTTATGCAAAATTCTCAAATGGAAATCACGAGGAAGATATCTTATGCTACAGCTTCAAGAAGCACCAAGGATAGTCACTTCATTCACATACTTCAAGAAATCCCTAAATGGGCTTCAAACGAGTCTATCTTTGAATTCACAACAATGTTACTTTGGACTTTGATCGTGGCATTTTACTTGCAAGTCATGATTGAATGTCCATAATGAAAATGATTTAACAACATATAAGAAATGTTTGTATTCGGATTAAAATAATAAAAAAAAAGGCAACTTATTTAGGCTTAATAAATGATTGAAAGAGAAATAGTCATGTTTCATTGTTTAAAAAGATTTGCTAGAATGCAAGTTATTCCACCAGTTTATGGCAAACCAAATCTTCAATTGCAATTCAAGAACACCATTTGAAGGTTGAGTTATAGAATACTATGAGATGATATCGATTGGACAAGAAAAAGATTTGCTACAATGCAGGTTATTCCACCAATTTATGGCAAACCAAATCTTCAATTGCAATTCAAGAACACCATTTGAAGGTTGAGTTATAGAATACTGTGAGATGATATCGACTGGACAAGAAAAAAAGCTAAAATCTTGTTTATAATATTATCCCCTAATGTCCAGACTACGTACCAAATATATTTTAAAGAGCTTTCTCATGAGCTGAAGCTTGTTCATTCTATAATTAAGCCATTAAAGATAAAATTATGATAATTCCACCATAGCATTCTTTTACGAAAATCACACAAGTGATACAGAAAAATCTTAAGGTTAACGTACATTTGTGTAAACCAACAACTTCAATTTTTAGTTGGAGTATTTAACTGAAAAAAAAAAAAAAAAAAAAAGCGTAAACATACCCTCCAAAAGAAAGCAAAAGCAACTTAATCCAAACCTTGTAACTAATATGTTTTGGCCATTGACTCCTGCAAGCAAAAAAATTCAATATATATTAATAATCAAATTTTTTATTTTTATTTTTCTCTCTCTCAAATTACAAAGTAATGTAAAGAAGAAATTAGAAACTCGCCTTTCGAATAAAATTGAGATGGGAGAAAGCAGCAAAAATGTAGCAAATGTAGAAAATATGATAAGAGATGAAGGCTGAAACCCTAATTTCAACAAATAACTAAGCAAAATTGAATTCCCAGAATATAAAAACTGGATCAATGTCAACCCAGTAATTATTGCAACGTTTTCAATGAATTCCGCCTTTGGTTTTCGTATCATATTTCCCGTGGAAAGATGAAAATTCCCTCTTTCCCCCTTTACGATTCTCTGCCTATTCATGCATCCTCTTCGATGTTTTTCACAGGGCTGGTTGTTGATAAAAAAATAATCTGGTAATAATCAACCAACATTCAACCCACCTACCAGTCTCTTAATTAAGAGGTGAATGAATATATGGTTGAGTTTTTGCAAAATCTTCTGGTTTTTATTTCTTTCGAATGAGAAAAAAATCTTGAATTTTAAATTTTTTAATTGTGTAAGGCTCATGTTGAAATGTTTGAAAAAACATTGAAGAATTTCTGTTAGGAAATGGAAGGCCATAGTAGTTGGGAGAGAATCCCTCACTGCCAATATTTTTTGGAAGAGAAATTTTAAATATTATATATATGTTGTCTCCATCATTTTGTCTCCTTAAAAACCTTAACTATTTGGACAGGACTTTTTTCTACAGGTTTTATACGGGTAATGAGGGTCCCAGATGTATAAAAAAAAAAAAAAAAATTAACGCGAGCCCCACCAATGTGAGTACCTATAAAATATTTGGCAAAAAAAAGTCCTATACATGGAGGGTGGTTGTAACTATTTTCAGTTATAAGATTACACATCTATCCAACATATACACATCACCAAATACTAGTTAGGTAGTCACTCTCATGCTTGATATGGGTTGTCATACATGTACGGGTACAAGTTTTGATACATGTATAAGTACAACTACGGATTCTGATATATGTACAAGTACTGTTTCACAGAATCCTTACCAAACACTTGTATATATCAAGATGAGTGTTGAGTTTTTTTTTTTTTTTTTTTTTTTTTAATACAAGTGGATCCTACCCGTGTGGGACCTATTGTTGTGAGTGTTGGTAAAACAGAACCCTGTACACCCAACATTTCATGCATGAGATACGTGTCCTCAGTTGTCTCTTCATACTCAAGCTCCGTCTCTCCCATTAGTTGGTCATCACCTGGCCAGAGTCTCTCTCGTAGACCAATGGGCACTCATTTTCGAGCTTTCGGTGACCAAAGAATTCAGGGAGAACTAGGTGGCTCCCATGGACCGGTACCTATGCCACCCAAAGGGACTGCCTACGGGCTGGCCCTTCTAAGTTTGAAGCCAATTAAGAGGTGAATGAATATATGGTTGAGTTTTTGAAAAATCTTCTGATTTTTTTTTTTTCCCAATGAGAAAAAAATCTTGAATTTTAAATTTTTTAGTTTGTGTAATGTTCATGTTGAAATGTTTGAAAAACACTGAAAATTTTCTGATAGGAAATCGAAGGCCAAAGTAGTTTGGGAGAGAATCCCTTAGTGCCAATATTTTTTGGAAGGGAAATCTTAAATATTATTTTTTTATATTTTATGAATTCTATTGAGAAAAAAGGGATCAAAACTACAACTAACAGAGATTCTCAAACCCACCTTATTTTCACAATCGCCAATACGGCTGAAACAATGTCTAAAAAGCGCGTCTAGACATGAGCCTTGGACATGACAGTAAGCACGAATTAAGCAGTCAGTTGACCACTTCCAAGCGCGCTTTATTAATTTTTTCTCTTTTTTAAAAAAAATATTTTATTGGACTTTAGTTTATTAATTTTATCTATACAAAAATTTAAAAAATGACTTTATTTGATAAAGATTTAGATAAAATTTAAGCTACAATTTTATCTATATTATGTAATTATGATTTTGATACTTATCCTTCATTAGAAGTTTCAAAAATATGCGTGAAGTTCCTATAAATCCGTTAAGTAGTGTTTGTCTAGTTCAAAGTTCAAACTATAAAAAAATCATTGAGTTTTTGTATTTAAAAAACTTGAAAATTGTATAATTGATTAACTGTGAGAATTATTAAGTAAATATATAATTTATTCATTTTAGATGTTTGCTATGAATTATTTTAATTATTAAATAATTTTTATAATGATTAAGTATTTAAATTAATAATAAAAAATAAATAACGTTTTTTTACGCTTATCGCCTAGGCTCGTAAAGTTTGAAGTTTAACCTCCACTCCTAGATATACTTTACGTTTTGTAGAACATTGGACTAAAATAATGAGGCTGCATTGACCATGCTCTGCTTAGTTACTATCTCCATTGTCCATTTGAGCTTTTAATTTCATATCACTGTTGATCCAACAAGTCATGCCACACAATAAAATCAAATTAAATTCTAATTCAATATAAGCATAATTCAATATTTAATTTCAAATAATATAGCTAAAGAATATATAATCATATAATAATCAAACAAGTGGACAGACTAATCAATGTTAATGACATGAATTATATGTTTTCCTTTAAAGATAAACATGAATTGAAAATGATATATTCTTCGAAACATGTGCTATTTGAAGAGCGCATTGTCTTTTTCAAGAGTAATATGTTAATATTCTTTTGGAATATTGAAAATTATAATTCATGCTTTTCAAAAGTAATAAAAATATTCTCTTGAATGTTAATAACACAGAAAATTATTTTCCTTTAAACACTACAACCCATATTGAGTCGTTTAATATGTGTTTATTCAAAAATACAATGAGATGTATATTATTTGGGATGTTTGCTTTTTTAAGAACACGTTATGTTCTAGTATTGCTTATTCAAGAATAATATATTCATATTCTTCTGAAATATTGAAAATTATACAATGATTTTACTCTTCAAGAGTAAAAAACATAATTTATGTTAGATTATATCTAATTTATGTTACATATTCTTCAGGAGTAAGTAGAATATAACTAGAATATCGATAATAATATGCAAATTCAAGAGCAACAATATTTTATCATTTAAAACATTAATTCTTCAGAAGCCATGTATTATTTACGAAGTTATGTTTCTTTAGGAGAAATAATGAGATACATTATCAATTTTTTTTTTTTTTTAAAAAAATCCCAAGTTATTTAATCAAGGTAAAAGTATTTATTATCATACATGCATTAGGAAAAAGAAAGTCTTTATATACACACAAGGCATGATGGAAATTTCCAATCATTCTTTAATACATTACTAAAGACATAAAATTATCAAATATTATAATTGATACACAAAATGCATTAAATCGATCAATTAACATATACAAATATGATTTTGCATAAAATAAAATGAATGGCAGCCAATAATCGAAAATGTAATCATATGTAGATCGTTTGCAGTAGTGATGTACGTTACATGGATTTCACACCAATGTGATACGGACAGTGCGCGTGGGAGTAATATGATTTGGATTTAATGGTTGGTAATGAGATTTTATAACCCAGTAGTGAAAAAAATTGCAAATTTGATTATGACAAACATGCAACCCACACACACACACACACACACACACACATATATATATATATATAAGTTTAGAGACTCGTGCTAATGACGTGTTATGAGAAGAGAAAAGGCGAAGAAAATATAAGTCAAAACTCAGGTGTATTATACTGAGAATCAAAACTCCATATTTATAGGATTCTAAATGAGAGTTACAATTAGAATGAAATTGATCTTATGAACTAGATAACACATATATATTCATTATATGATAATATTAAATAATCATCAATAATTATCTCATTATTTTACAATACACTGTAATAGTTAAATATTTTATTAAAAAAGGTTAGTGCCCTGTAATTTTCATCACATATAATTGGGGTGACTTATTTAAAGATTAGTAACTAATGTATGTTGATTAATTTTAAATGCATGTTAAAATTGAGAAACATGCTCAGTATTAACCTTGAAAATTGTCGAAGAGCCTCGAGCATGCTGGAGAATACATTTGTCTTCTTTTTTCCTTTTCATTTGGTTATTTACGTGTTAGTGTATTGACTTCCCGATGGGAGAATTCCCAATATTCAATTGATTTAGTTAGATGAAGCTGATTACTTAAAATTATGGATCAACCATGGAACAGTGTTCAATAAGTGAAACGTATTAAAAGATAAATAGATACTCAAAATTAAAAATAGAATAGATGCGCGAAATTCTTCAAACGTGAAGGAATGAAGCATTTTATAAGAACGGTCATCTTTCTAGGACAAAGTAGTAATCGATTTATCAAGAGTCGCAGTTATTAAGGGTGACATTACACTGTAGAAGCTAATATGCAAAATACAACATGAAAAATAACAAAATCATTACGTATTATACATTTCAACGGCCAAAAAAAAATAAAGGAGATAAACCATATACATGCAAAAGTACATATCAATCTTGTCTTGCTTCTTCATTTTATTCGGTTAGCCAAAAATATAGCTATAAGCAAAGGCGGGTCCGCTGCTCTTCCCTCTCGTCCCGAGTTACTGCCGAATCCCTCTCTGCTAAACATCTTTTATATGGCACAAAACCCTTCTTACAATTCACAGAGTTCAGTCTAGGTTTCATACTGAATTTGGAAGAGGAGGGAGATTTTTCCTCTTCTTCTCTTCCACATGAGAGACGACTGCTCTGAGCCTCGACTTCTGTGCTTTTTTCTTCGTCAGCTGATGCACCACCAACGTCTGTGTTGGAACCAGTCGAAGAACCTTCTTTCTGATCATCTTTATCGATCTTCTCTTTCTTATCATATGATGGACGTCCCCTGACAGGAATAGGATTATGCACCTGCAAAGATTGAATCGATGCACCAGCACAAAGTGTCAACCATGGGAGAGGAACCCGACAAGCATTCATATTGTTCGATTTGTCATTCTTCAAACAGAGCCATGCACACTCAGAATCACCTGGAGAAAAGGGCGTGAAAGTCCAAGGCAATATCTGTTTATATGTTCCGTCAATTCTATCTAATGACTGCGGTTTGCACGTGCTTAGAGTAGGATAAGATGGTCCATAAGAGTCGGTGACTAATAATGTCTTTCCAAAAAGCTTCAAATGCTGCGTGGAAGATTCATTTAAATCTTCTTTGGCTATAGTGTCGTTTTGAGGTAACACCTCCAGTTTCTGTACAATAGAACAAATATGTTAACTAATTATTTCAGATGTATACACAAGATTTAAAATGAAACGAGCAACTACCATAGGAGTTTCTACATCTTGACTTGAACGAGCATCATTTTGGCCAGGTGACCAAGATCTTGTCTCTACAGTACCGTCATTGACTGCAACAACAGATGAAATAGGTGATGAGCTGCCATCAAGCGTGCCAGAATCTGTTCGGCCCAAAACATCTGAACCAATTGTAGACAGTACAGAGGTAGGAGATAGATCCTCTTGCTCCGGGACTGAGAGATTGGAAAATGCGGACCTTGTTGGTTTTTCGGATGCTGGGATTCCAGTTTTGACAGGAGAAACCATCTTACGAGGATAAGGATGCATCGGCTTTCTTTTGGGCCTGGGAGGAGGAATTTCAAATGGTTTCACAGAGCTGGCAATTCCAGTGTCAGATTCACGAACAACCTACGCACCATATCGACATGTAAATATCAACCCTAAAGATGTTTGCACACCTCGGTGTCACAAAAAATATGACTTACTCAAAAAGGCAGCATATAGAAATAATGCTAGAGTGACTGATATAAGAGCAGTAAAAACCTTGGAGAAAAACTTTTGCGCATGGCTTCTAATTTGCACTGCATTTTTTGTGCCCACATGCTCTGAAGAAGATAAGAATCCATTTGAAATGCATTCAAGATTATAAAATAAATTCAAGGTAGCATCAATGCCAAACAAATAGCTAGCTACCTTCTATATTTCTCCATGCCCGACCATATAGTTTCAATGCCTCAAGAAATTTTTTATGCTCTTCTTCTGACCATCTTTCTCTTTGTTTCGTAATTGTGTAAGGCTTCCTGACCTATTCATAGAAGGATATAATGATGGAGGGCTATTGTATTGGACAAATGCAAGATAGTCGGTCAAACATAACTTTTATTTCCACAGCAAAGATCCGCAACTTACTACCTACTATTATCCACGCATTCCATTGGACCCACAATTCATAAGCACTTAAAAGCTTTGCCAAACATACACTAAAGCTCTCCATAATATCAACAAACAGGGAATATATAGTTATATACTTATATACCTTTAGAGCAAAGTCATCCGAAGGCAGAACGGTGTCTAAACCATTTCCTCCGCTTTGATCCTGCAGTTGAAAATGCAACACTGTCAAGAAGAAACCTCCTGAGAAGGAATTGCTTAAAAGTTAATGGCTCTGGATCTAAATACATGTCAATGACTCGAAGATATTCTCAAGATTCTTCTTAGTCGCATCTTATCAAAGCTGACAGTATTTTTAATGGCACGTATGCTTGGAGATTTGCCAACACTTATAAGATTTGTAACCAAGATTTCGAGCCCCATGATGTAGCCTGGTGTAATAACATTATAATATAGATTCTAAATTCCTTATTCTATAATTTTTTATTTTTTTTTTAACAAAAAATCGAGATATACAAGTATGCCCAGGAAAGAAATTTCTTTGTCTATCACACACATAAAGTTCCTAAAGTCATAAAATGATTTGACAAAAGTAAATTTTGCAATCCGAGATTACACAAATGGCCATCATCTACCACAATTATGTTCAAGTCAAAGCAAAACACTTAAACCACAAGCAATTTTCATATATTTCTTTAGTGAGCTATTGCTAAATTTGAAAATACATCTTAATACTAATAATCATGAGGAAGTTAACTAATATCAAACAATCAGCTCTAAACTTGAAGATCGGTGGCTTAATCGCTTAAAATAAGCAATTAATCATAATAAACTAAACCAAAATCATTAGATTTTTCACATAACCAAGGCATAAAATTCTGAATCTAGATTCTAGATGTGCAATCCATAGACAGATCAAATTTATAAACACCCAAATTCACTGTTTATCACAAGAAATCTATCGCTTCCACTAAAATTAATAAAAAAATTTAAAAATAGCTCACCTGTACAACCATAGCTGCAGAAGCCATCAATTCTTCCTAAATCTTATTAGCAGATAGAAATTTTCTTCAAAGTTTCAGCAGGAAAATAATACAATATAAATAAATTACAGAACCTCTTCTGTCCCCAGTGAAAATAATCAAAATTGAGCAAAAAAAACTCACAAAATTTAGTCGCCACTGAAAATGAAAAAATGAAGAAAAAGGTATTATTGAGATTGAAAGGATAAGCAGAAAACACCTCAGAAGCTTGATCTTTATCTGAAACTAATGATTGAAAAGGAGAGAAAGTAACAAATTCCCAAGATCAAATTCCTTTAAAAAAAAAAAAAAAGAAGAAGAAGAAGAGTAAAAGGATGAGAGGACAGATTTCATTCAGATAAGAGGGAAATGAAAACAAATACTTCAGAGAAGGAAAAAGTAATAGGGAAAGTAGGGGTGCCACGTCATAGGTGAATTATTCTTAATTTTTGTTAAAATATAGAATGGTCAAGAAATACAAGGAATCGTGTGGCTCAGATTCAAAGTAAAATTCATGGACACGTGGCGTACTAGTGTTAGACAACCTGCAGTAGGACCACCACTTTTTCTCTTTTTTTGTGAACTTAGTATGGAATGAGGCTCTGTACTTTCTACTCACGTGTCAGGATTTTTTAGTGGTTAAATACTTTTCACGGGTATATTTGGCACTTGTGGCTGCGCACTTTTTTTTATTTTTTAAATTTAATCATAACTTTAATCAGAAGACGTTTGTTTTCCATTTTTATAAAAATAAAAAATATAATCGTTATAAACCTCACATAATAAATAAAAATTTAAATTTAATGATTTGATATGATGAACAACGATCATATTTTTTATTTTATTGAGAAAAGAATAAAAAAACAAACATGAGCTAAACTATGGTTTGGTAACTTTGGTTTGATAAATGTTAAAATTTTAATAGATTTTGACATTGTACGTTTGGTCCCATTTTTTAAAATTATTTTTTAAAAAAAAACATTTTCCACCACATATTTTATGGGATCATAATTTTCATAAACTTTTGAACTACGAATTTATCAACTTGGTGAGATCCAACTATAATCAACTCGATCAACGGGCAAATTCGGCAAATGAGTCAATTCTTAAATCACTTTATTCTTGAAATGAGGAAAAAAGTGATATGTACAATTGTTTGATCATTTTGAATAAATAGTTGCAATTAATTACATTTATAGCCATGAATTTTCAACAAAATTTCAATTGGATCACTAAATTTCAATTTGTCATGATTAAGTTTCAATTGAGTTTACTATTTATTAGTCTATTATCACATTCTATCACTCATCGTCCCCAAACTAACAAAAATCATACCATAACTAGTCTTATACTTCCCTATAAACAAGAATGACAAAATGAGGGTTATTATAATATGTTCAAATAAAAGTTAAAAATGTGTAATATTTTTATTTTAACATTTTTAAGACATGGCTTAGCAGTAAATTGGCATGCAAGTAGCGATTGCCTTGAAGATCCATTGCAGTATGACTACTGATTAAAAAAAAATCGTCAATTAAAGCAAGGATAGGTAATAAAGTAGTGGAATTTGAAATTACGTAAAAAGTCAAGTGACAAAAATTAAAGTTTAAAGATCTAATTGAAATGTCTTTGAAAGTTGAGTGACCTTAAACACTGGGTACTATTATTGTATCACAAAGTACAAGTTGAAAGACTGGGTGTAGGTGGCATGAATTCGACAAGAAGTACTATTTTGAAAAGGGACGTTTACCATAATTATATAAAGTAAAAAGCGCACAACACATAGACATCCACGCGCTTTTTTTATTTTTTGGATATTTTAAAAGAAGAAATATCTAATGTGACAATTTTTGTGATGGGAGATAAAAGATTAAATATCTTCAAACCTCTAAAAATATACCACACAATAAAGAAAATTATTGGTAAAAGTTTTAATTGGATATTACAATAGCAAAAACATATATATTAAATATTATACTTTAAATTCTCGATTCAATCAGAGTAAATGTAAAAAAAATTTAATAATATTTAGCACTTATGTTACGTTTCATGTTAATTTGGAAAAAATGTATTCTGAAGTAGTAATTTTTTGAAGAATTAGTGTTTAAAAAAGAAAAAATTGAATTTTCGTGTAATTTTATTTTATTGAAAATTATGTGGTTAAAAAATAAAAATAAAAAATATAGTAATATTAAAATAAAGTCCAAACAGAGGTTTAATAATAAAAAGACAATAAATTTTTTAAAATATCTAAGAATGTAAATAAATTAATTTACAGAAATAAAAATATTGAAAAGAATTATTATTTTGATAAGGACAGGAGGATGAGGCTTAGACAGTGACGTGTCAATTATTTAAACCATTAATATTCAATTGGCGGTGGCCATTTGCTTTTTGCACTTTTCAGCCACGCCATCAATTACGTATAGAGAGAGAGAGAGAGAGAGAGTGGATGATTCTGGTCCACATATATTTCATAGTGGAATAAATAAATTAATGGGAAAAATTGTTTGCGGATAAGAGCGGATGTATATAAGTCAGAGACAGACATCGCCAGTTGTATTTGATTGCATTTCAGCTGAAGTGACAACAAAATTAGAGTAAGGATAGCTACGACGCGGTGGGTCAATGTTCCCCGTTCGACATTTTGTTGGAGATTTTCAAAAGGTGAAGTAGAAATCTCTTTTTTATTTATTTATTTGTTTTTAATTTTTAATTTGTGGAAGGCAAAATTGACGAGTGAGAAAGAATGATCAGTAGGAAACGGATATGTTCAATAAATATAGCCCTTGTTTGGGCCCCATTAATTTTTATTCAATTATATTTTATTTTCCTCTCTCTTATTTTCAACCGTACAATCTTCCATAAAATAATATTACATGTACATCGAAAAATTTTCTTTCTTTTTCAACCATTCATTTTTCAAAAAAAATACTATTTCATCATTACCACAAATGAGGACCAAACAAGGACATAATGTAAGTAGATAATGCATACTGATCGAAATTAGAACTCCAATAACCACAATATGATGGAACATAAGATAAAGGTAAGTAGTACAAATACATGTTCTATAATCCACTCATCTTTCCCTTTTTAGGTCCCGTTTGATATCCATTTTTTTCAAAATGTATTTTTCTCTTTTTTCTTTTCAATCACACATTCTTTATTAAAATAATATTACACGTAAATCAAAAATTTGTTCTTAATTTTCAACTATACATTTTTTATCAATTTACTATTTAAAAATGTATTTTTACATAAAAATAATAAAAAATAAAAAGTCTCCCAAACACACCCCTTAATTTGAGTTCTAATTTGATTATGACGTTCCTGCCAAACATATTTTTTGATTGCTGGAGTTAATTCGCTGGAGTTCAAATAGGGAACTTCTTAAACATTGGCCCTTTTGAACCGCATTCTTTTGGAAGAAAAATACATTTTTAAACAGTCATTTGACGTCATTTCAGATGCACATTCTTTAATAAAATAATATTACACACAAATTCAAAATTTTTCTTTATCTTTTAACTGCACATTTTTCATCAATCTACTATTTTAAAATACATTTTTTTAAAAATAATGTGACTCAAACACACACAATTTATCGTTTTAGAATATTCAAACTATTAACTTTCTCCTGATTTTGTAAAATAATTTTGTTTCTCAAAAGCTTAGCCAAACATAAGCGTGTACAAGGAACCACATTTGCCTTGATCTTATTGGTAAGGTTTAAATGCACTATGGGTCAATCAACAAGTTATGAGTGGATGTGAATTTAGGTTGGCAAAATATAATGCCTAATGGATTTGATGATCATTATGATGACCTTCTCCTCTTCGATTCCAATTGAGCTCAAAAAGGGAAATTAGGAATATTTAAAGATCACGATTTAAGCTGCAAATCTACCTGTTTCGCACGGGTTAGTCGCTAACAATTAAAAAGGGATCAAATGATTATGTAAAGGACAAACCTCTTGAGACAAAGTCCCAAAAAGAGGCGTTTTTATTGGCGATGACTTTACAATCGGAAAGTAAAAACAGAATGCCTCCAAGGGGCGCAAGCACACGAGTTATTGTAAAAGAAGTGTTTAAATCTAAATTAAGAAATTGAAAGTTACATATTCTCTATATGAGAATGTTTGATTCGGGGTCCTTTGCTCTATGTTTTTTCTTCCTTTTATACTCCCTGGATAATTTTTTCGTGATCAACCGCTTAAAAAACTGCTTGATCGCTCTATAACTGCCCACTTTCCTTGTAATGGCCAACTTGTCATGGAACTGCCTTCTCTAACCGCTGCCATTACTTTTGTCGTTCAACCATCTTCAATTGAATTCCTTAAATCGTGGAACATGATAGGACTACCCAATAACTGCTTCATTAACTGCACTTTTAGGTAACCATAACTTCTTATGTTTGTTAAGATATTGGGCCACTTGAATGTTCGGACGAGAGCAGAGTCACAGCTCTGAGCGACTGCATGGCAATTCATTCACTCAAATCTTGGGCGATATTATTTCCGCGTTCATGGGCTTCCTTATTTGGGCCTTTATCCTGTATTGTCCGACTGGGTCGTTCTTTGGGCTATTTGATTTTGGGGATATTCTAATTGGACTTCGTTCCTTGGGCTATTCGACTTGAGCTGAACTTTTTGTGTGTCAACAATTACCCCCAATATGGCAGAATTAATACCAATTATTAATTTTTGCCATATTCACTTTGTATTTTCCAGCAATATTCGAAATTCCCAAGAATTTCAATCATTGTTTTCTTCCATAGCCTGAAAAAGTGCGACGTTTGCAAACCCTTATAACCCCGAAATACGTTATTTCATTGCACCACTAAATCACGCCTCATTTTTTCTTGCCTCTCTCGCAATATTACTGTTCATCTCTTTGCTTCTCTGCTACGTAACTCTGCAAAACTCTATTTCGTCCCTAATGGCTGCTTCACAATTTCAGTCTGGTGACTCTTTCAGTTTCGAAGACTTTCAGAAACTCCTTACTCGGCCATGTGTAACTCCGAACTTTCTTGCACCAGCCAATGTCGAACTCAATGAGTTCTATCTAGGTCCTTCATTCAATAATGCCGAGGCCATCGAACAAGCGGTGGTTGGTCAGTTGTTCCCTTGTACTCAGGGCCCTCCGTTTCTAAATTCTTTGCCGCTGGGGCCACTTCGAGAAAGAGGTATTCGCACTTGGTCTAAATCTAATGTTGTTTTTCGTAGATGGCATACTCGCCTTGTAGACCATGGTCCTACTAAGGCAATTTTTGATAATACTGGGATTTCTGATTTGTTAGAAATCTCTCTTCAACCCCCTATTTTTGACCCAGTACTTTTTTCAATCGCTTTATGTTTTTGGTC